CGAATCCCACCATGATTGAACAAAACCCTACGCCTGCTTGAGGTGGCCCGTGGCTTCATCACGCATGTCGCGCCTGTGGCGGCACATGGCGAAAGATGTAAACCCTAAGTTACTAAATTCTAAACCCTAAACCCTCACCCTAAACCCCAAACCCTAAACCCCTAACCTGAAACCCCACACCATGAAGCCTCTAAGCGAGAGGTCCAAACCCAAACCGTGAAACCCAAGGGTTCAGGGTTCTAAGCCCCGAATCCCCAAGAACCCCAAAGAGCCCTGAACCTTAGACTTCAGGGTTAGGGTTCAGGGTTTAGAGGTTTTTTGGGCTTGTAGGGTCCGGGATTGGGCTTAGGGTTCGGGAGCTCTGGGATACTGTCTGTCTTCCCTGACTTTACGTACAAATCCTAAAGCCTAGAACCCAAAAAACCTTGCCCAAGTCCTACTGCGAGGTGCCCATGATCGGCTTTGTGGCGACCCTGGGCCAAGGAGGGGAGGAGTACGAGTACCTGGAGCGCTCGATTCTGCGGTTCCCGCCTCTCTGACGCAGAAGTCCCCAAACTTGGGATCTTCCCCCTTTATACGAACAGTCCTAAAATAGGGATTCTAGCACCCCCCTATTACAATCAGGGGGAACATCCCAAGCCTTAGCCCTCAACCCTAAACCCTCAAGAAGCTGAGCACAGGGTGAGCTGTCAGCTGAAGGTGTCGAGCTTTAGGGTGTTGAGGAAGTTGACGTCGCAACCCGAGGCCCTACTTGAAGCCCTCAAAGTCCTAAAGCCCTCAACCTTAAAGGTTTGGGGTTTAGGGTCTAGGGTCCTGAAACGACCATCGCCCTCAAACCCGCAAAAAATGGAGCATCCTCTACCCCCAGACCCCCAAGAACAAAAAAAAACCCTGCCTCAACCCCTCAGCCCTGAAACCTCTGAACCTTCAAAGAAGCTTCCAACCCCCAAGCCCCTCAACCCCTCAACCCCTCAATCCTAAACTGAAAACAAGCCTATAAACAACCCTAAACCCGAAACCGTAAACCCGCAACCCTAAACCCGAAACCCTAAACCCTAAACCCTAAACCGAGAAACTTCTCCTCTAGGCAGCCGCGAGACTTTGCTGCGGAGCTCGGCCGTGCTGGCCTTCCGGTCGACACCATCACCAGTCTCTTGGGGGCCGCAGACCGCCCTGAACCCGAAACCCTAAACCCTAAACCCTAAACCCTTAAGGTGTTAGGGGTTGACGAAGATGAGGGCCGACCCATCGAAACTACCTTCCCGGGTTTCGGGCTTTAGAGGACCCCAACTGTCAACCAGCCGCGGCACGGTTGCTTAGACTTCTTCTCATGTGTGGTTCGGGCGTGATCATTCGGCCCCGATTTTGATTTTGAAAGGGGCCTTCATTTTGAAGACGGACCACGTGTGGCATTTGCGTAGAGCTTGGGGCTTGGGTTTTGTTCGGGATCAGCGTGTCTTGGCGGCCTTCCTTGTGGACTCGAAGCGTTCGGGTTTCGGCTGCCCTACATCCTATCCCGTACCTCAAACCCTAAACCCTAAACCCTAAACCCTAAACCCTAAACCCCAAACCCCAAACCCTAAACCCTAAACCCTAAAACCCTAAACCCTAAACCCTAGTCCGGTCGAGGAAGGGCCAACGTCCTCTGTGTTTGGGGTCTTTGGGGTGTGGGGCACCAGGTTGCAGGTTCTTGGGGGATCTTGAGAACAACGCCGGTGGACCATAAGTGGGTTTAGGGTTTAGGGTTTAGGGACCCTAAGAAGCATCCTGAGGGAACCCTCAAACTCTCGGAACAAGATCTTAGGGGCTGGGCAGTTAACCTCTGACCTTTTTTTTTGATAAATATGGCCCCAGTGCAACTGAAAAAGGTGAACCTTTTTTGGGCTAGGGTATTCAGCCCTTACTAAGAGCTTGCGCCGGGCCATAAGGGCTTCAGCGTAGCAGGAGGGGGTGTGAGGCTTTCAGTTCCGGGTTCGAACGTTTAAAGATTTCGGCCTTCGAGGCTTCTACCCTGGCCACTAAACCCTAAACCCTAAACCCTCAACCCTCAACCCTCAACCCTCAACCCTCAACCCTCAACCCTCAACCCTAAACCCTCAACCCTCAACCCTCAACCCTCAACCCTCAACCCTCAACCCTCAACCCTCAACCCTCATCCCTCATCCCTCATCCCTCATCCCTCATCCCTCAACCCTCAACCCTAAACCCTCAACCCTAAACCCTAAACCCTAAACCCTAAACCCTAAACCCTAAACCCTAAACCCTAAACCCTAAACCCTAAACCCAAACCCAAAACCCTAAACCCAAAACCCCAACCCCCAACCCTATACCCCAAAGCCTAGAATCTAAACCCTAAACCCTAACTGTAAGGTTTCGGGGGCCTCTGAGGTTTTGCTTATGGCGCCGTGAACCTCTACATGGCCAAGCCAGCACTGTGACAAGGGCTTCCGCCCCACCCCCAAGCCACCGTAGTCATTTAGGGTTTAGGTGTTATTGAGGGTTTAGGGTTTAGGTTTCCCAAGCCCTAAACCCAAAAAGGGTTTCAGGCTAGTATGGCTTCTGGGGATCAACGCAGAACAACCCTAAACCCTGAACCTTTGCACTTCATGGGTTAGCAGCTCCAGTGGGCATTGTTGATGGCTTTCCTTGGGCCACTTCGATGTACAGTTGTGGCGTCATTGAAGGCAGATTTTCCAGCCTTAGCGTGGGCTAGTTTTCAATCAGAATGCTCTGGAATGCAACCCCTTCGAGAGGACGCCCCCAAAGTCATTGCCCCCTTCAGGCCTGCAAGAATGTTTAGGCAAAGGCGCTCCCCCCCAGCCCCTGCTATTGCAGAATCCAAACCTGCACGAGTGCGCGGATGGGAGAGTTATTGGGCTCTCTTTCGCTCGAGCGTGCTGCGTCGCCAACAAAATACGCAGGATGCCCTGAGACCGGCTTATGACCTTGAGCCGGAAGCCCGCAGAGTCAACTAAATCCAAAACCCTAATTACGCCAAAGGGCCCTAAACACTAGACGAAGCATCCCAAAATCCCCTCTTCGTCAAGGGTTTAGGGTGTGGGGACCGCCATCGACCTTGCTGGACATGGGTTGAGGGGGTTTAGGGTTTAGGGCTTTGTTCTTTTGGGGCTTCTAGGGCTTAATAGTTCCCAGGCTTTTTTGGGGAGGCTTAGTTGGGTTGCCCAGGGCTACCGTGAGCCGCAAGGCCCCAAAAGTCCTCAAACCCTAAGCCCCAAACCCTAAACCCTAAACCCGAAACCCGAAACCGGAAACCCTCAACCGTGAGCCCTCAACCCTCAACCCTAAACCCTAAGCCCTAACCCCTAAACCCTAAGCCCTAAACCCTAAACCCCTAAACCCCTAAACCCTAAGCCCTAAACCCTAAACCCCTAAACCCCTAAACCCCTAAGCCCCTAAGCCCCTCAAGCCCTTGGCAGGCGTGGAGTCTCGTCGAGCAGTGCTCAGCTGGGCAGCAGGCTGTGGCACCAATGGGTGGACAAATTCATTAGCCCGTTAGTTGCCTACTATCTGCTTGAGAACCTTCAAAAGCGCAAAATGTTCCTCTTATGAGGGCAATATGGGGATTGTGTTATCTCTTTCATTTTTTTTTGGGGGGGGGTTCTTCAGAACGTAGTAGTTTCAGGGCTGCTCTCACAGAGATTTCTCGTTCTGGCTGTTTGCCCCTTCTCTGCTCAAGCCTTTTAACAAGCTTCTGCGCCAAAAGGCGCGCTCATCTTGCTTGCCACGAGCTCCGCTGCAAGTTTCGAGATATGGCCGCACCCTTCGATCTCGAGGCGGTGCCCTCCCAGTCCGAGGAAGAGGTCCCGATCGCTCCGAGCTTCCGCTGGGGGAAGGTGGTGAAGGTGGCTCTGGCGGCGTCGTGGGTCTCCTTGGCCTGGGCTTCCAGAACTTCGGCGTCTTCCAGGGCGAGTCTTCCCTGACCATGGACACGCATCAGCAGTGGAGGCAGCAGATGACAGGATGGGCCACATGGGGGCCGGCTTCGGGGGGGGGATGAGCGAAGAACAAATGCAGCGGATGCAGCAGATGCAACAGAGCGGCTTCGGGGGCCTGGCCGGCGGCGGGGGTCGGGGTCGGCGCCAAGGGCCGGGGTCTGACTATGGCTATGGCGGCGATGCCGGGGATGAGCGAAGCACAAAGTAACGCAGCAGATGCAGCAGTGGCAGCAGTGAAGGGTGACTAGATCCCTCGTCTGCTGAGAAGCGGCAATCGATTTGAGCTGTCAGCGCATCTTCCAATCCATCGCTATGGTGCCCGATGGTTGTGCTGTCAGCCGATGCCATCAATCCCACAGAATTATCCAAAGATGGCAGAACATCGGCCAAGATCCGATTGTCGGCTCGCCGGCGCAAAACAGCGTGAGAAGAACACAGGAGACGCATGTTTCTGGCTCCCTTACGTACGCTAAACCCCAAAAGACTCGTAGGTTTTGACGTGCTGGAGCCCTGAAGCCTTGCGTTGCCTTGTTTAGCAGTACATAAAGTTCTAAACCCTAAGCCCTACATCCTAGACCCTAAACCCTGAAGCCCAAACCCCAGCAAAGGCCTGCCCTGCCAAGTGGGGGTTTGACGAAAATAAGGGACCCCAATTATAGACCCCCCACATCGTAGGATCCCCTTAGGAATAAGGACCCCAATAAGGTACCCCGAATGTCGTAAACCCCAAGTGAAGCTTGGGTTCAGGGTGGCCAGAGCTGCCTAAGAAGAGAAGAAAAGCAGCAACGAGAGGGTTGGTGGGGGTGAGGGCTGCCAAACCCTAAACCCTAAACCCTAAACCCTAAACCCTATACCCTAAAGGTAAGGGCTGCTGGACGCAGGGAGGCCCAATCCTGGTTTGCTTGGTTACCGCGGCCTGTCGGCCGGAGGCCGAGGCGAGTGTCTAGGAGGGTTTAGGGTTTAGGGATTAGGGTTTATAAGCTTAGGATTTTTGGGGTTTAGGATTTATGGGGTTTAGGTTTGGGGGCTTTGTTCGCAGGCGCAAGCAAAGCTGCCAGCGCGGCACTCGGCCAGCGGGATGAAAGTCGGGGCATTTGATTCGTGAGGCACGGATTCCTGCGTGTTTCTGGAGAAGGGAGGTTCTACGAATTCATTTGGTCTTTCCGGATTTTCCGAAATACATGGCCCCCCCGGAGCATCATGCAGGCAACTGGCCAGAAAGTCTTGACTGTCACGCAAATAAGCCTTCTAACCCCAAAACCTGAAACCCTAAGCCCTAACCCGAAATCCTAAGCCAGAAGCCCTAAACTCCTAAACCCAAGAAATCTAAACCTCTAAACTCCAAAACCTTAAGAATCATTAAAATTAAACCTTAACTTCCCGGACCCAGAATTCCTTGAACTCTATAGTCGACTCCTACGAAAGCTGGGGGATGTTTCTCTAGTTAGTTAGGATAAAAGTATTTTGGGGGAAACCCTAAACCGTAAACCCTAAACCCTAAACCCTAAACCCTAAACCCTAAACCCTAAACCCTAAACCCTAAACCCTAAACCCTAAACCCTAAACCCTAACCCCTAAACCCTAAACCCTAAACCGTAAACCCTAAACCGTACGGGTGGGGGTTCTTTTTGGGTATTTTCTCGTTTTTTTGGGGTATTCTTTTGATCTTCTAAACCATACACCCTAAACCCAAAAACCCTAAAACCCTAAAACCCTAAAACCCTAAAACCCTAAAACCCTTAAACCCTAAAACCCTTAAACCCTTAAACCCTTAAACCCTAAAACCCTAAAACCCTAAAACCCTAAAACCCTAAAACCCTAAAACCCTAAAACCCTAAAACCCAACCCTAAAACCCTAAAACCCTAAAACCCTGGAACCCTGGAACCCTGGAACCCTGGAACCCTGGAACCCTGGAACCCTAGAACCCTAGAACCCTAAAACCCTAAACCCTAAACCTTAAACCCTAAACCCTAAACCCTAACCCTAACCCCTAAACCCTAAACCCAAAAAAACACCCAAAACATTCCCCAAAACAACCTGGCTCCAAAACGTACGGGGTGCACCCCCTATGTTGGGAAACGCCCAGGTGTATCTGGAGCGGTTCACCGGTCTCCTCTCAGAGGACCGCCTCTGCTTGGGGTGGGTTTAGGGTTTAGGGTTTAGGGTTTTGGATTTTGGGTTTAGGGTTTAGGGTTTAAGGGAGTGCAGGGCTCTAGCACGGAGGGATTCAAGGGGTTTAGGGTGGTTTAGAGTTTAGGGCTTAGTGGGGTTTAGGGTTTAGTTTTAGGGCGTAGGGGGGTTAGGATTTAGGAGGTTTACAGTAGGAGATTCAGGGTTTACGGTTTACAGTAGGGGGATTCAGGGTTTACGATTTCAAAGGCTCTCGGAATGCTTCGGCTGGTTTAGGTATCTGCGTTCTTTATGGCTACAAGCTCCAGCAGGCGTCTCTGTTTTTGAGCAGTCTGGGCACAAGCATCGAGGCCTCCACTGGCACCTTGATTCCTTGTGCGACATGCCCACTTCTACGACGAGCTCCGCGTGTCCTCTGACATCGAGCAGGCAGAGCTCAGGAAGGTGTTGAGGAGGAAGGCCCTGGAATATCACCCCGACAAGCATCCAAAGGAGGAGCAGCAGAAGTGGACCGAGATGTTCCAGCACTTCCAGCAGATCATGGAGGCACTTCAGGATGAGAAGAGCCGCCAGGTCTATGATGAGATCCACCTCAAGTTGGAGCGCACAGCTCGCATCCTCGTGCTATGGACATGAATGGGAGCTTGCTCTGCAAACTTGGGAAGGATGGCAAGGATGGCTTGCCTGCGCGGAGCGCAGGGCCCCCGGACTTTGAGGACCGCAACAACCGCTTCTGGGTGGGCGGTGAAGTTTTTGGAGGCCATGCTCCACCCGAAGTCGAAGATCGCTTTTGCCATCTACACCAGCCGGCAGCTGCGGAACGCCCAGCCGCAGGTGGACATGTTGTTCCAGAGCATCGGGCGCCGCGACTTGCAGAAGAACCTCTTTGCCGTCTTCGCGGGAGATGACTTCTCAGTGCCGGATCCAGAAGCCGGGCCGTACAAGTCCAAGCAGAGCCTGCCAAGGATTTGGCAAGGTCGGGCGTGTGCTGCCCCAGGAGTGAAGTTCGACATGTGCAACACCGTGAATTTGGACAACGAAGTGTCGAAACTCCGGGAACACTTGGAGAATGGAATCGTTGATCCGAGCTTCGCCGCAGCTTCTTTGGGCAGGGAGGACAAGGTGCTGGTGTCCCTCCAAGAGTACTTGACGTGCCTGGCCAAGGAATGCCATGGAGATGTGCGTGAGTACATGAAGTTGTTCCCACTCAGCCCAGGTGCATCCATGTCTCGTGCTCTACCACCTGCATCTGCCTTCGAGGAGGACGAGGAGGACGATGTGATCAAGTTGACGCAGCATCTTTCAAAGGTCGCTCTCGAGGCCACCGCGTCTGAGCAAGATCACGCGGGCAAGCCGCGCGCTCAGCAGCCTTACCCGTCGGGGCACAGTCCGGAGTTCAGCTGCAGCCCATAGTTGTTATGCCTGTGGGCAGTTCCAAAATTATGGTCCCACGTCGCAACAGGAACATGGGCCCCCCCATGTTGTTTCTGAAGCAGTGTCCCGATGCCTGCGCAAGCCAAAAGACGAAGTTCGACTTGCAAGCGTCCATGAGAGACTCTTCTGTTCCGCTATGCCCACAGAATCCCAAAGTACGTACTCTAGGACTCTAGGGTGTAGAGTTTCGGGCATAGGGTTTAGGAAGGTTGGCCAAGGCTATCACTTCTCTCGATTTTGCGTATAACTTGAAGACCTGCTTCCGCTTCTCGGCATTCCCAAGCGCATCTGCAGCAAGCCTGTTGCTTGAAACGCTTACGAACCCAAGACCTACGTCTTTGTAGGTGTTGATGCTTGTTTGTCATAATCCGAGCATCTGTTTAATTGGGGCCCCCCCCCCCCCCGCCACAATAAGAAAGGCAGGGTTCGCAATAGTTGAACCATGGCCCTGTATTGATTCTCTATTGAAAAACAATACAAATGTATTGAAAGCAATAGGAATGTATAGAATCTCTATTACAACTGAATAACAAAGTATTGACTATCTACTTTCCGAAGGGCTGGGTTCAAAATTTTGCCCCCCCCCCAAAAAAAAAAATCCTTTAAATGTGGTGGGTTTGCCCCATACGAAATCCACCCTAATGGAAAGTAGTCTTCCGGCGGGCTTCCGGCCAAACAAATTTCTTTAACTGTGGGGGTATTGATTAAGCAGATGCTCGGATTACTGTAGCCCCTTAACTTGTGCAGGGTTCTTAAGGCACTTCCAAAAGCATAATTTAGGCTTGTAAGGTGCAACAAAAGGCCTAAGCCTTCGCTCCTAGCCGCTGTCTGTGCCGCAGGATCAGCGCTTCATGCTACACAAGGCGGCAAGGGCCTGTTTTGGGGTTCAGGGTGCAGGGTTTAGGGTTTTTGTAACCACATTCACATAACATTCATTCGCTTTATTCATTTTTTGGTTTGTTTTTTTTTTTGGGGGGGGGGGGAGGGGGGGGCGGGGGGGAGGTTGGGGGGTTTAGGGTTCGGTTGCCAGACGAACTCACCCCGACTGGCTCTCCTTCTCATGGGCTGGTGCAGTTGCAGTTCTTGTTGCTGGCGTCTGCGTAGCTAGACCTGCGGCTGTATCTAAAACCACAGCACATTACACCCTACATCGGAAACCCTAAATCCGAAACCCGAAACCCGAAGCCCTAAACCCTAAACCCTAAAACCTAAGCCCTAAGCCCTAAGCCCTAAGCCCTAAGCCCTAAGCCCCAAGCCCTCAACCTTTCCCAAGCCCTCCCGGACATCAGCTAAAGGCCATGCTGAGGGAGAAGGTGGGCAAGCGTGTGGATGCCGCGGATGTGGACTTCAGCGCCTACGGCTGCCTTCACTTCTGGATCGAGGACTCCACTGGCAACACCCCCGAACTTGGAGAAACGTAAGCCCTGAACTTAACAGAATAGAAGCCCTAACACCTAAACCCTAAACCCTAAATTATAAGCCCTAAAGCCTAAACCCTAAAATTAACAGAAGTGAAAGCCTGAGTCCTAAACCCCTAAGCCACAACAGTCCACTCAACATCCTGAGGACCGGAAAACCCCAAACCCTAAACCCTAAACCCTAAACCCTAAACCCTAAAACCCTAAACCCTAAACCCTAAACCCTAAACCCCAAACCCTAAACCCTAAACCCTAAACCCTAAAACCCTAAAACCCTAAAACCCTAAACCCTAAAACCCCTAACCCTAAACCCTAAACCCTAAACCCTAAACCCTAAACCCTAAACCCTAAACCCTAAACCCTAAACCCTAAACCCTAAACCCTAAACCCTAAACCCTACTCATCCCTAAACCCTAAACCCTAAACCCTAAACCCTACTCATCCCTAATCCCTAAGCCCCAAACCTTAAATCCTGCGAGGATCGGGGCTTCGGCTCGGAAGTGAACAACCTCGTCTCGGCGGCGATCGCCTGCGAGGCAGGGAGAAGTGGCAGAGTCGCTACTCAGCGTTTAGGGTTTAGGGTTTCGGGTTTTGGGGTTTGGGGTTTAGGGCTGAGACGCTAAGCCCTAAACCCTGAACCCTGAACCCTGAACCCTAAACCCTAACCCTAAACCGTAAACCCTAGGGTCTGAGGGAGAAAGGCTCTGATGTGCGGGTGTTAGGATTTGGTGGCTTGGAGCGCTTCGACCTTGGGTCTCAGGTGTTGCCTTACCTGGAAATCGTTTTCTGAGGCTGCAGGGTCTTGTTTTTTTTTTTTGTTTGATTTTTTTTTTTTGGGGGGGGGGGGGGGGGGAGGCTGGGGGGCGGGAAGGGGGGCGGGAACCCTAAACCCCCTAAACTTTCGGATTCCTGGCCCTTCCCTGAAGACCTCACACCTTCACCACCAGGCCATCTCCTAAATGAAGGCCACGGCCTACAGCGCATGGGGGAGATGATCTAAACTCCGTCGGCCCCTGATAATTTCCCTTGTTGGGCTCAAGATGACTACATTTTAGAATATTGCTCTAAGGGCCATCCTAGTAAAGGATGGCCCCTGTTGGTGTCCCTATGCTTCGCACAAACTCCCTCGCAGCTCAGAGGGCACTTTGGCCTTTAGAACGGCCAGCAATATCATCAACTCCCTCTTTCTCTATACATATGTTCATTTATATATATATATATATGTATGTATCAATTATGTATGTCTGTATGCATGTATGCATGCATGCATGCATGTATGTATGTGTGTATGAGTGAATGTCTACCCCTCGTGAGGTGGTTGTTCTTGCCTCCCCACAACCACAGTTCTCTGACTCTAAGCTACCCTTAGCAGTACTCGTACCCTAAACCCCAAACCCCAAACCCCAAACCCCAAACCCCAAGCCCCAAGCCCCAAGCCCCAAGCCCCAAGCCCCGAGCCCCGAGCCCCAAGCCCCAAGCCCCAAACCCTAAACCCTGAACCCCCTAACCCTAGGAAGCCAAACAGTTCATGTCAGCCAACGGAGGAGTTCGGTCTCTCCTGCGTGGTGGAGGATGAAGTTTGGAATTCGGGGCGCTTGCACACCTACCTGCAGGCTCACGCACAGGGTTTAGGGTTTAGGGTTTAGGGTTCGTCTGGCCGCGCACTCCCGCCAAAACCCTAGATCTGAGTGAGCCAAGGCTGTAGGTTGAGGTGCGGTGTCTTTTTGCCCAAGGTGCTCCCAAAGGCTTCTCTTTTTTGCCCTCATCGTGGCATGGAGCCTCACAGTCGGGATCGGAATCCTTCAGTGCCCACCCTAAACCAGGCTAAACCCCAAACCCTAAACCCTTTTGATCTCAACGCAGCGGTCTCTCCAAATAAACTCCGAGCTTGAGCATGGCTTCAGGTTAAGCTTCCTGGGTTTGAGAGGGTAGGGGGTAGGGTGTAGGGTTCAGGGTGTAGGGTTTAGGGCAACCTTAGGGCAACCTTAGTGGAACCTTACAACACCCTACACTGAAGCCCCTAAAACCCCTAAAACCCCTAAAACCCCTAAACCCCTAAAACCCCCTAAACCCCCTAAAACCCCTAAAACCCCGATGGGGGGCTGGAGGCCGAGCCGCTCATCCTGCGCCGATGCCCTCACGGCGGAAGCTGTTGCCCGTTGGAGGTGCCTTGGCACCACAGGGCCGGATTTACGGAGGGTTTAGGGTTTAGGGTTTAGGGTTTAGGGTTTAGGGTTTAGGGTTGCAAAAGGGTTTAGGGTTTAGGGTTTAGGATTTCGGGTTTGGGGTTTGGGGTTTGGGGTGTAGGGTAGGGGCACCGAATGAGTTGTCAACATTGGCCCTTACTATATCACCAGCCAGTTCCTCGGGCTTGTTTGCAGATTTGTTAGTGAGATAAGCACAGGTATGCGCCACACAGGAGCGACATGCATGACAGGCAAAAACATTATGTGAGCAGACCCTGCCGTGAATGCATATGTCCGGACGGCCTTAACTCCTATTGCAAAGGGGGCAACCTACTTTGGCTCCATGTTGACAGATGGTGGCGACAACAAAAAGTTTGAGATCCCAAAACTCTTAAGTACCCCAGATATATCGTGCATCCCCAAGCGCTTATAAACTCCTGAACCCCTAATCCCCCCCCAAACCTCCAAAACCCCTAAACCCCAATCCCCAAACGCCCTAAACTCCTCAACCCCTGACCCCCTGAACCCTAAACCCAAAAACCTAAACCCAACCCCCAATCCCCAAACCCTAAACCCTAGACCAAAACTGAGATCTAGGTGCGAAGGGACCGGCGTGTAGCCACTCCAGGCCCGTTTCCGGGGATGCAGCGGTTGGGGGCCTTAGGGTTCGAGGCAAGACCTTCTCAACCCCAAACCCTAAACTCTAAAACCGAAACCCCAAACCCTTAGCCCGCTTATAGAGTTTTGGGTTTTGGTGAGGGTTTGGGGCTTTTAGGGTTTAGGGTTTAGGGTTTAGGGTTTAGGGTTTAGGGTTTAGGGTTTAGGGAACAACTTGCAAGAAGTGGGTCTCGTTGCCCATGCGAGCCCTATAGGTCTCCAATGCAATGCATACATCATTTCCTTCCCTGGTTCTGCTTTGCTCTTTGTGGGTTTAGGGTTTAGGGTTTAGGGTTTAGAGTTTAGGGTTTAGGGTTTAGGGTTCAGGGTTCAGGGTTTAGGGTTTCGTCTCGTAGATTTGTAGGATCCCGAAATGGCACCTGTGCCCTTAGGTGCATATTTGGAGTTTAGTCCGCGGCATAGATCAGAGAGTCAATTTTGATTGCTCCTTGCACTTGCACTCCTCAGCCCCCACCTCCTAAAGCCTAAGCCCTATGGACCTCGGCAATAAACCCTAAGCCCTAAACGCGCAGCCCTCTCAAAGAAGGCAAAGAAAACCACGGCAATAAATCCTCGGAGGCTGGTTTGCAATCTGCAAGCACGCCAAAAGCACGTCCTTCGCAAAGAAGCGCCTCGCCTAACAATCTTGTTGGGCTCAGGGGTTTAGGGCTTAGGGCTATAGGGTTTAGGGTTTAGGGTTTAGGGTTTAGGGTTTAGG